CCAAAGTATTTAATGCTCAATGTAATAATAAAATAAACGAATATTTTTAAGATGAACCCTTTCTGTTGTTTCATTCCTGTTTTGTCTTGACTCTTATGCTATCAGACTGATACAAAACTTCATGCACATTAAGTTGCATATAACATCATATTTATAGGTCACTCAACAAATCTGTATTGCTGCAGTAAAAACTTCACTCACTTTTAACTGACCCAGCTGTGTATTGTTTATCTCCTCTTGTTGGGATGTGGTGAGTCTTGAAGGAGGCTGTATACAATATTAAGTCTGATGGATGGAAACAGACAGTCCCGCAGCTGCTGGCAGTGTCCTGACGAAAGGGAACATCCCTAACAACACAAGAAGGATGCAATGTTCAGGAGACCGGTGACTAAGAATATCCAGCTTCCAGAGTGTGTTTCAAAACCATTCTTATCAAGACTTCAGGATCGATCCATTCATGACGCTTTCCGCCATGGTACACTTCTGTGTCCCATTAGGTTTCTTGGTACAATGAGGTTATATGACAACATTAGTTAACTACTGTATGTTAAACATTTATTAACCTAAGTTAATATGTACAGCTGCAGTATCTGTTAATATTATGTAGTGGACCTGAGCTACAGTAACATGAACAAACTACCAACACACACAAATTAAAATTAAAATGAAGCCTTTTTTTAGATTTACACATTTTTAAATTAACTATTTTAAATTAGTTTAAATGAGAGAAAAAAAAAGCTCTAGCATAATAAAACGTTTTATACAAATCTTAATGGAACAATGGACCATTTCATTTTATCTGATTCACATGTTTAAATTTACGAACACGATTCACATAAACTAAATGATCCATTCCCTCGTTCCATTATGTAGCGGGGAGTGGTTATAGCGGAGGTGAAAGGCAGCACAACTTTATTTAACAGATTATAAACTAAACTTGGATTCGTGACTCAGGAACTACCAACATCAGCGTTAACAGTCAAACATTAAACAAGAACTCACAAAGACAAGGCTGAAACACAGAGCTTACATTATCAGGGACAAACGAGCTAGACAAGATAACAATGGGGTGTGGGAAATAAGAAACACCTGGGATAACTAATAGACAAGACAGGGAACCCTAAAACATGACAGGATTCAAACCCACATCAAGACACATTACGATTTAAATAAAATGTTTAAAAAAATGCTGGGTTGTTTTAACCCAATTTTGGGTAAAATATGGACAAACCCAGCCATTGGGAAACCCAATGGTTGGGTTTGTCCATATTTTACCCAAAATTGGGTTAAAACAACCCAGCATTTTTTAGAGCGTAAGCTATAGCTTTTTAAAAAAAAAGTCATTTAAAATTCTTGATTTCAGAAAAGGAATAATATGTAAGGATGGAATTTAACTGTAAAATAAAATGTTTTAAATCTTAAAAAGGCTCAATGTCTTTGGACTGAATGAGCAGTTTTATTTTTATTAACTATGTATAGATTAATAAACACTGTAACAAGTGTATCAGTTAAGGCATTAACTAACGTTAACTAATGGGACCTTAATGTACCTGTTTTTTAATGTATTAACTAACATGAACTAATAATGAGTAATACATTTGTTACTGTATTTGTTAATCTTTGTTAACGTTAGTTAATAACTAACGATACCGTTAATAATAACTCTATTCAAGTTAATAACTAACGATACCATTATAACTGCCGATACCGATATTGTCGAATTGTCCAACTCCAGTTTAAACATAAAAGACAGAACATTTTCTGACATTTTAGTGCTTATCTGCGTGAGGTAGCTAATCATCAGAGCTGCTAACACACACACACACACACAAGCTGTTGAAGTTCCGCCCTCTGTGCCGGGAGCAGCAGCTCATTTGCATTTAAAGGGACACACACGAAACGACTGATCCTCAAAAAGGGACAATTTTAAAGAATTATTTGTGTGATATTTTGAGTTAAAACTTCACATACACACTCTGGGGACAACCTATTTTACATAATTGTAAAAAGGGGCTTCATACCACCCCTTTAATATTACTCAATACCTAAATGTATAATTACACAACTAATGAAACAAATGAATTTTTGCTAAGTATTTTATAGATACCTTGACCTTCTGTGGTTGACGATTAACATTTTCTGAAGGCGTTGCACCTCGTTACATAAATTTTCTTAATATTTGCTTAAAAATGTAGTATTTTAAAGGGGTTTGGACATTGTTTTGTACCCTATCATTGGAAAGTGTCTTTGCTGATTCATCAAACATTATGTAGTCTTAAACATGCTGTAGCCTACATACACCTTATCTGGACCCTGTCCACAACCACAAAGGGAGCCATCAGCTGCACTGCAATTACTTTATTTATAAACTCCATCTGGTTAGAACTGGACTAGACATGAACATGGGCATGGCCAAAACAGTATTCAATCACACAATACACTACATGCGCTCGTATTTTGTGGGTGTTATTGCAACACTGAGAAGCCTTCAACAAAAAAAAAAATCCATCCATTTCACAGTATCTGAAATAGGGTTGTTTGTAACATCCAGTCACAGTTGAAATTTCAGGCCTATCATGCATAGAAACAGAAATTTCATTTCTTACAAGTTGGTACTGTCAAAAACATTGATATCTTAGTACTAGAACATTTGATAAGATGCTGTGGGGAAGAGTGTGGGGAAGAGATTTCTTGTAAACCTTTTACTTTTACCATTGTAGAATACTTAATTTGTTTTTGTTATGCTGATAGTTTGTCTTGAAGGAAGAGGGTGAGTAGGAGGAAGGCCAACTTTATGTTGACCTTACTGCATTGGTTTCTTTTTTGAAGGTCCTCATATGCTTTCCCAAATAAATTCCCAAGGCAAGAAATCATCAATCTTTCACTTGATGGTAATGATGAGTGATTGCTAATGAGTCATGGAGGAGCCTCTGTGGTTAAATAACTATACTTAGATTTGTTGTCAGTCTAGCTGGCAGACAATTATGACTGAAAGTATCCACACCAGTCAGTCAATGATTTTGAAAGAAAGTCCATGAGCAGCTGGAGGTTGTGTAAGCCCTCAACCGAGGCTTCGGTGACTCCAGGCATATCGCCTCATTTGAAGCTGTGATTTATGGGCTAAATCTAAACTTGTAGATCACGGTGTCTTTGATTTTTGAGAGACCACATTCATCACTCCAACCTGAAAAACCAATAGACATGTCTGAACTGATCTAGATCTGATCGTGAAGCGGGCTGACTTCAATCAGGAAAGAGCCACGTGTTCTGGTCAGCAAACTCCCTTAGATGGTGCCATTTATACAAGAGGCTTTACCAATCACATTGTTTAACAGTTTACATATTAGCATTATAGAGTATTTCTAAAATATGTAGTTGTTTTTTTCGAGAAAGTCTGATAATCTGGAAATTCAACAAGCAAGATGTTTTAAGGCAATGGTTTCTAGGAAATGGATCCTTTTGGTTTAAGCCTTTGACCTGATTATATAATCAATATAACAATGAAAATGTATGCGTTCAGTGGTGGTACACATACCAGTTAATTTAGGTAAGGATCAACCACTATAAGGAATATGTTTTGTTTTTTTTTTCAAGGAATTGCCGCTGTTTCGAGTCTTTCAAAGCACTGCAAGATTAACCAAGTTGTTGCATAGAAAACACAGAGGAAAGAGGCAACTTTATAGTCCGTTATTGATATAATGCATGTCTTTTCTGTTCACAGTTATGTCGCTTTAAAGCAGCACACTTAAGTTGTACAGTTAAGCAACATTCTTCTGTTCCACGCTGTGGATGATGATGAAAGTTGATGACAGCGATGAGGTCAGTCGAATATACTCATGATCTGAAGCTTTACTGCATCACGCCCACCAACAAGGTGTCATCATCATCACAAAAGTTTCTCTCACACAATTCCACTGAACTTTCAGCAAATTTAAAGAGCCGACCTACATATAGAATGGAAATGACAGAGACAGAAGATAAAAATACTCACATTGGACTTTGCATTGCATTGTGTAGCCACTTCTCTTATCTTGTCATACTGCTCTTGTCATACTACGGCTCTTGTCATACTGATCCTTTGTGAGAATTTTAGTATTCAAATATTAATAATTTTATTATTAAAAAATATGTATTTTTTACAACAATTTTGTGTGGAAATTTGATGTCCAGTAGACAGTGCCCGACACTGCATTGCATATTTAAAATAATAATAACAAATATAGTGCAATAATAAATACACCAACAATAACAATGTGTAGGCTAAGCTGCTCTGAAATAATCCATATTAAATAAATATTGTTCTTCATTATGAAACACTGTTTATTCATGTGATGCACTTTACAGTAACAAATGACTAATTAGGGAATTAAACATGCAGTATTAATCATTCAATTAATATTTCATCTGATAAACCCATTAGTTCAACATTTTGCATGTAGTAGACATGAAATGTGCTGTGCTATCTTTAATCTTGGCAAAAAAAGTATGCATTTTGTCATTTAATTAGGAAGCATTGTTTGTTTGTAAAGGACTGAGGATAACAAACAGGTAGCCTAACATCACTGGATGTAAAAGCATATACGAAACACTTTTGCTTAGTATAAGACTCCCCATTAGGTGGCCTCATAGACTTGATTTAGGTTATAGCGTCTGGCAAACCAAATATGCGAGTTTTGCAACATTTTTTTCAATTCAGGTGGGCTATCTCCTTAATTCCAGTTAGGTAAAGTTTAGCAGTGAAAATCTGCAGCACGCAGGTAAATAAAGGAATAGCAATTCATTCATACAGAAGCTTGTATGGCTTGTTATCGCTTTCCTGTATGGAAAGCGACAACAACAATAAAGAAACTTAGTCATAAAATGAATTGCCTGACCCTAAAGTAAAGATTTAATTAAGATGAACGGTTCAAGAATCGTTCAAGTTCGTAATAGGATCGTAATATTATAGGAGCGCATCGCTCACGCGCACTTCACTGTGACCCAACAGTGTTTTTCTTTCTTTCAGCATCGACTCAAGAAACTGGATGACCTACTGTTAGAGTAATTTGTCGAACCCCTCGGGCATCGGACACGACACATCTCGGTGTTAAATGTATTTGTCATGTCACTCGGCGTGGGTCTCACTAATCTCGCCACGCTCGCGCAGCAAGAACACGACGCGCATTCGTCGCGTGGAGCTCATGCTGATGGAATAACACCTGATCTTCGACAGGATGAAGGTGCGCGACAGTCATTCATCGAGGAGGACGTACACGAAACAAGTTTTCTTTCTAATTTATTTAAGTGAATCGTTCTTTACGGACAAGACGTTTCAAAGAGCAAATTGTGCAACATTTTTCGGATAAATGCAGCTTTGAGCACAAAAGAAGCTCCTCGGTATTATCTAACAGGTGAGGATAAGGTGTTTCTCTTAATTACCATAGAGAATATAATAGCTGTTTGGTGTCTTTCCTCTTGTAATATGAGTTTTGTCCCTTTGTTTGACACACAGAGCTGCAGGAACCGGTTATTGCTCACTGGAATGTAAAACGTCCTCATATTGCACAAGGACTAAATGATCACACTCGAATATATCAGGGGACACTAGAAAACTGTGTGCAGAGTGATTAGATGAGCTTATCTGAACAGTTTTGATGGGATCATATACTATGATATTATCAACCGGAATGACAGTAACACTGAACTGAAACACTTTACTGGCACTTTCCAAACTGGAATGCAGGACAAATCTTTTGTGTAATGGAGCACGAACTGGAAATGTTAAAGTTGGTATGAAAATGTACCTGAAGTGTGTCAGGTCTGACGGATTCTATGAGATGAAGTGTTGGAACAGTTCACGTCTAGCTCTCATGATGCAGTGATCCTTAATGCACAGCACAATGGCAGTGATGGATTTGAACTTGACAACAGTAATTGACAGCGGTTTCATGGAAAGTGACCAGTCCAGGCGGGTTCTGATCGGTTGCTTTCTTTCCGTTCTAATCCTCTCCACCTTACTCGGAAACACGCTGGTTTGTGCAGCTGTCATGAAATTCCGCCACCTGCGCTCTAAAGTCACAAACTTTTTTGTGATCTCACTGGCGGTGTCAGACCTGCTGGTGGCCATTCTGGTCATGCCCTGGAAGGCTGTGACGGAGGTAGCCGGCTTCTGGCCCTTTGGTGCTTTCTGTGACATTTGGGTCGCTTTCGATATCATGTGCTCCACAGCTTCCATCCTGAACCTCTGCGTTATTAGCATGGACCGATACTGGGCCATTTCCAGCCCGTTCCGCTACGAGAGGAAGATGACGCCCAGGGTGGCCTTTGTGATGATCAGCATGGCTTGGACCCTGTCTGTGCTCATCTCCTTCATCCCAGTGCAGCTCAAATGGCACAAGGCTCAGCCAGTGAGCTTCCCAGAGGTCAACGCTTCTCACAGGGCTCTGCTGACGGACAACTGTGACTCCAGCCTCAACCGAACCTATGCCATATCCTCCTCGCTCATCAGCTTCTACATTCCCGTCGCCATCATGATTGTAACGTACACTCAGATTTACAGAATCGCCCAGAAGCAGATCCGACGGATCTCGGCTTTGGAGAGAGCGGCGGAGAACGCCAAGATCCGCCATGACAGCATGGGCGGCAGCTCCACCGTGGAGTCCGAAAGCTCCTTCAAACTGTCCTTCAAAAGGGAGACGAAAGTCTTAAAAACCTTGTCCGTTATAATGGGTGTTTTTGTGTGCTGCTGGTTGCCGTTCTTCATCCTGAACTGCATCGTGCCATTTTGTAAGAGCACTTCGACTGGTCTCCCCTGCATCAGTCCGACAACATTTGATGTTTTTGTCTGGTTCGGATGGGCCAATTCTTCTCTCAACCCCATCATATACGCCTTCAATGCTGACTTTCGCCGAGCTTTTGCCATCCTTTTGGGATGCCAGAGATTCTGTCCAGGAACCACTAGCATGGAGACACCGAGCCTGAACAAGAACTGAAAAGCAACGCTCAATGTGTGAGCCCATTTCACATCAATGCTTTGCCAAGGAAGGCAAAAAAAGGGGGGGAAATGGATTTGGGATTAAGACTCTGGGAAGAGAGCCCTCCTGCTGAGCTGGAGAGCAGAGGAAGCGGTCGCCACATCCCTTAAGCAAGACTAATCTCTATAAAAAGCTATTCTTCACCAAAGAATGACGCAAGGGAGGGGGGTCTGTGTATTTTAGACAGTATACTCAACAGATTATTGAATCCACAAGTGACTTGCGGAAATTAGAGAAGCAATGTTTTATCAAAAGAAATATAGATGTTTCTTTGAATGTTCATTTTCATTTGAAAGAATCTGTGCAGTAATAATGTTTGTGAAGTATAGATAGTGCTGGGCAAAACTGCAATACACTGGAACAAATGTTGTGTATTTACTGCAAATGAATTGAGAATATGGTCTCAATGTATCATCATTCCATTAATCTGAAGTATCACTGAATAAATGACCATTTCAGGCATTTGCAATAAAATTCAGTGTAATCTGAATCGAATACATCACTGCTTGATAAATAACTATCTCATCCTCTCCACTCTCATTACATTTCCTTTACATCTGCCTTATTCATGAGACTTTTTTTTCCAAAACAAGAGGGCAGATGGTCAATCATGAGATGGCCATCCCATTATTGCCATAATGAACATGCATATTGTTCTGTGGTACTTGTTTTCTGATTCATTATTAAACTGTGAAAGCTAAACACTACGACTAGCAGAACAGATGGCCATAAAATAAAAATGCAGATGTGGCAGTGTGCTCAGTTACGGTCATCTAGTAATAGATACGTTATTGTTGAGATTGTCATTATTTTCTGAACGCGTATGAGGCCTTCAGGCCCAGTACTAAATAACACTGGATTGTTGCTATGTCTGTAGATGTGATGCAATGTGCCATGTGATAATGTAGCAAAAGAAACATCGAGAAACTCTGAACGTCTGTGGCAAACTGAATGTAATTAATTGTGATGAGTCCAACTATGTGGTCAATTTTATGATATTTTCATGCTTTCACAACACATAATTTGGTATTTCTCAGTACTACGTTTGGTGTTGTGGTGTTTTGAGAAAGACACTGATTCAGTGTTTTAGTGGAATCAAATAACACCACAGGATACTGTTCCGTCAATAACTACACAGGGACAAATGTGTAACGCACTATTGGCATTCTAGTAAATACTAACTAACAAGAAACTATGATTAACAAATTAGTAGTGCTCAGTCAAATGTGGTAGTTCCCTATTAGTTAAATCAATAACTAGTATTTTTTTTTCATTCCTCCCAGGGGACTACTAAGAACTATACAGGTTCATAATTGACATGAATAATACATGCAAGTGAAGGTCATGGTCACACACTAGTAATGACTCAAGTGTTATTACTAATTACTGATTTGAAACTGTTTTCTAAAGTGAAAAGTATGATAACTCTCTAGTAATGACTGAAATCATTGTAAGCTTTTGATGTTTTCGTAAAGTATTGGAATGACTCGAGTGTTACTACATCCTTCTGAAGGAATAGAGTGCCGAAGTTACGACGTCACTCTGTAGGCCAAAACGGGGAAGTGAGTTAGCATTTTAGCACTACGGTTCCCTCGCTCTAAAGCCTATGGGATTTTTGAATGGGTTTTTGCTAAATCACCTGAAATAAGGTCTGTGAACAAAGCCTCTAAATATTTTCACGTTTTGATCTATGACATAGAACACACAGTTATAACCTGTTATGGTTTTTTAAACTTTGTGTCTGATTGTGTTTTTTAAAATAGGCTTCAAAATGTATAGCCTACATTTTGGATTAACTTGTAAAGATTATCTTGCTAGACAAAACGTGTAAGGGTCATAACCCTTTGTTAAACACGGATCTTATTTTTTGCGATTTTCCAAAAGTCTATGGGGAAAATGCATTGCTTTTCAAACGAGGAAACCCATGCGCCGCTAGCTTCCGAGTTGTCCTACAAAGTGACGTCATCACTTCGGCACTTTATTACTAATGTTTTGGATCAGTATTTTAAAGTGAAAGGCATGATAACTCCATTGTAACTCCACTCCAACTCCAAAGTCATTAAAATATTTTGAGGATTTTGTAAGGTTGTTGGATAGTAATTGCTTTTGATGGATTTTGTAAGACTTGAATCATTTCTAGTGGGTTACCATGACCTTCACTTTAGTATGAATTATACATTATGCATTATTTACATTGATTATGATCCTGTATATAACAGTTCTTAGTAGTCCTCTGGGAGGAATGAAAAAAAAAGTAGTTATTGATTAATGAGTGTTACTATTGCTAGTGTTCATAGTGCGTTACTCATTTGTTGTAATTACTCATTAATGATGGAACACTATTCTAAAGTGTCATCAATTATGGTATTGACTGATGAGAAAGTAACTTTCTAATATGTAACTGATGAGAAAGTACATATGTAAAGCAACCATTATGGACATTGGCTTTTGGTCAATTAAAGTGTTCATTCTTTCTTTGCGAACAATGTGTTTGTTAACCTGTTCAAAACATGATCATGGTCTAGAAAATTCTGGATTCACAATTCCTCAGCAGTCACGGTCTTATTTTTCATTTGATGAAACTTGAATCGGAAGCAATAACAGGCGGCAGGAACCGCGGCTCATCAACCTCAAACTTTCATTGGTTACCGACATGTGCTTTTTGACACTGTGTAAAGCTGGCATAAATAGAGATAATAAGCTCAGCCCTGGCTCAGGGGAACTGAGGAGTCAAATTGTTTTTGTTTGCTTGCCTCCGTGAATGTGTAAGAGTCAAGCTTTCACAGCAGGGCCCTACAAAGCTGACATCCCCACTCAGCCTCAAATACAACCCTCTCATATTAGAAACAATAGGAAGCATATTGGATGAGTTATTAAACAGTAGATGCTGTGCTTTAGATCCAGAAACAGCAGTGAGTGAGGCATCACTGTCGTACTACCACGTTGTGTTTGGTCTACGTCAGCTGACAGGAAACAGCGGGGCCACTGTGTAATTAGTGTAATGAAGAGCATTAGTATTGTATAGCATATGTGTGCATAGCATACTTAATAGACAGGTACCAGGAGTGTATCTTCAGTTTACCAGCCCCCATAAATAAAGTCACACAATGAAGCAACCTTTGTTTCTCTTGTACAACTATAAAAAGTGGTAATCCAAAACCTTAAATAACTATTAACTTTGAACCTTTAAATTTAGTTCGGTCAGCGTAACCTAATGTATTTAGGTTGATCCAGGAATGCTAATTTGACTTATTGTGAACAAACTCAGTTAATTTAATATAGATGTTACCACATGAAGCTCATTAATTCATTCCTGTTGATTTAGTAATACAATAACACTTAATTATAAAAAGTAAAATAATGCTTTTGACTTGAATAAAATCAGTTCATTGGGAGATATACTGTATGTGGCGCCATCTAAATGAATTGATTTTATTCGAGTCAAAATATAACATTACTGAGGCAGCCCAAACACGTTTACAACGGACCAAAATAATGTTTAGATAAGGTAGAAACAGCACCTAAAAAACAACAACTGAAAGTTACCTTTCTTTTCTTTCTTTCTTTTCTTTTAAAGTAGGTTATTTAAACATCAGTGTATTTAATGTTTAGATATAACCCTAAATAGTATCTGGACATAAGCCACATTTAAAATGTCACTGTAAAAACATATTCATGATTTGTAATCACAACATTTTTTCTTTTGTCAAATCAACTTAGATAATTTATGTAGTTCAGATAACATAATATTTTGAGTTTCTGGTGATTAAATGAATCTCCTTCATTAACTCACTTTTTCCATTTCAATGAACTTAAAATTTTAAGGCAACCAGGTTACTTATTTTTTTAAGTTAAACCAACAATAATTTTTTTTACAGTGAACAAATGATCAAAGCGTTGACTGAAAACAATGCTTTTCTCTCGCCTTTGGCTTTGACTTTAATCAGCTGGTGTCGAGGTAGTTTTTAGTGGATGCATGAAGTCAGTTCTCCTCAAGTTCGCACAGGTCCCGTAGTGTAACCACAGGTGAAGTTCATCACATTAACTATGAACAGCTGTGATCAACTAACAGTTCACAGCCAGAAAGTTTCAGAATATCTTTTTGAGTTCATTTCAAACCTAACACATTTTGTTTGTTTTTTTCACGTAAAATGTCTTGCTTGAAAAGTCTGTTTGTGCCTGTTTTCTTACAGAAAAAAATCCATTTGTATTTGTTATCTAATGCCAGGACATTCATACATTTTTAAGTGTAACAGTAACTTGTGTGGTCAGTGTAGTAGCCTTTAGAAGTAAAGTTACTGATGACCTCAGAGAGAGAGAGAGGGAGGGAGGAAGAGGCCTCTTGCATAAGCAGTCTATTACCACAATTTTCCAACAATTGTCAGTTTTGGGCAAAATGTGGGAGAATCATTTATATGTTTCACCATGTCATTGGGGACTGTCCTATGTCCAGTAAATACGGGTGGGAGAAATTTGAAACACATTGCCTTTGTCCACGCTCTCAGCTGAATGAGAGGAGAATGATGGCAGTGCAATCAATTCCCTTTAGATTAATTTTATCCCCTCATTTAATATGTATAGCCCACCACTGTATGTATTACCAGAACTAATGCATTTCTAATAGCTGGCATACAATTGCTGTGACAGATTCACAAGTAAAGGGTCGGAAGCGGTGAGGGACGCAGCGGTAATGCGTCTACACATCCACGTGTCGACTGATAGAACTGCACGTTTGATGTCAAAGGCTACAGTGACTGCTGTACATGCTGATGTCTTACTGCTACCACGCTGGTGAGTGATGGTTTTGTTTTCGCACAGCCGTTTAACCCGTCAATATTCTGTCACTCAACCTCCAGACCCCTCCCACAACCGTTCGTAAATTGGAAACAGGCAAATACCAGCGATCAGCATCATCCAACCTAAGATGGGTGGGTTTGGCCTTTTGGGAGCAATAACACATGAATCTCGGCAGCCATTAGACAAACTCTGTATTAATCCATCCTAATCCTTGCAGTCCATT